ATTCTGTAAAAACTTCCTGTGCGAACCTTGATAAAAGGGTGGTCTTGATTAAGATGGAAAAACATGTGATGTGGGGCAGGCGAAGCATTATGCTGCAAAATTTCCTTCACATTCAAATATAGTTTGGTTTTTAAGCCCAAGGCGATGATTTCCTCTTACTTTGTAAAATGAAAATGACCAAAAAAGCTGGCAGAAATTGGAATTGCATGGAGATTAAATCATAATGTAGTCCAGTGGTTCTGAAGTTCATATTTTTTAAATCATTTTAACTCATTATGTGACTCTTTTTTCCTTAGTAGACTATCTTCTGTCTACTATTGATCCTTCTCTCTCCTCCCCCCCTATATTCTTTTCCCACATCTCTGGCCATGCTTTACTAAGGTCAAAACTGATGTATTCTTCTACTGTCCAGGTCTCACCTAGAAGCATGCTGCTGCGCCGTTATTTATTAAGTTCCATTTTTTCGCCCCTATTGTTTGGTTGGATTGTTGTTGTTCTGGATGGGTTGTTTTGCCCAAGTTGTGCAGGGGGAGGGAGGAGGTGTTGCTATTAAGGGCATTCTCCACTTAGCCACCCAATTTTTCTCCCCGTTTTCGGGGTGCGGGATTGTGTTGTAAATAGCATGATCCTCTCATGTCGTGGTTTTTAAGGCATAAAGGATCAGAGCTTGAGGTTGTAATACTGGATAGTGTGCAGTTACCATTTGCTCAAAGCAGGAAATAGGGACAATGACAATTCACTCAACGGCATTTGCCAACTATTCTAGTTTTTGCGCTTGTGGCTTTTTGAATTTTATTTCTTTGATGTGTTTCATATTTTATCCTATACTTTTAAATATCGTCTAGATTTATCCTCTGTTATATTATCCGGTCATATTTACCCCTATTGTTATACCTTCTGGCCTTATATACCCTTCTACTCTCATATAGTTATAATCTGTATTTACCTTCTAGAGTTAGCAGACTTTTAAAAGTTACCTCTCAATCCTGATGGATAATCCATAATTACCTAAATCCCTTTTTTAAGGCACTTATTCTTCTCATTTAATTTTTATTTATTTTTATAAATAAATGCCACAACTCTCACATTAGCTTTTATCTCCTATATTATCGTTATCAAGTATGATTACTATTAACATAAAGGTTTATTTTAATATTCTCAATGCATAAACATAATATACACGTACAAAAGTAAAAGGGAAAAAACTAGAAGTTGTTACTATTGGTTTATCGCTATGGAGTTAATGAGTTACTATATATATATTACTGGTTATTAGTTCGATTTTGGTTTTTAATATTGAGTAATTGGGTAAATCGAAAGCCTATTAAAACTAAGTGCTCACTTTGCCTCAATTTATATGACACTTTTCGTTTTTCGAGAATTAAAAAGCTTAAGTTTGTTAGGAAATTTGCTCAAGGAATCTTCAATTTTTTTGAAATTAAATTTATATATTTGTAAACTACATAAAAAGTACTCTAAGTCACAATAATTGACAATTTAAAAGATATATGAATAATTTATGATAAAAGATAGGCTTGTTTAAATTTCAAAATTTGAAAAGTGCCACATAAATTGGGACGGAGGGAGTGATTTATTACTTTGTATATATATATATATATAGGTTACTGCTTCTGCCTTTTAGCCTTCAATTCACACATCACATTGACTTTGAGTACACAACTTCACATTATACAAACGTCAAAACCTAAAGTATGAACCTTATTCCTCTTAATTTCTCTATGTGTTACACATGTATAGTTCTTTTCATTTTAGTTAATACTATTTCTATTTTATAAGCATTTGTAAAGTTACATTACTGTCTTGCGGCGTCAAAGTGTTGGAGAATTCATATATTTGTTTTATAAGCAGTTTCTTATTGGTTAAAACGAATATCAAAATCGATAAAGACCAAAACTGATAAATCAATAAAAAATATCTTATTGGTTTAGCATATTTGAAAATCAAAAATCGATAAATCAAATCGATAATACATAAAAGTGAACCGAACCAATCAATGCACACCCCTGATTACTCTCCTTTCTTTTGTTTCAATTCCACATATAACTATTGGGCCTTTATTATTTATAGGTGTGTCAAAATGAACCCAAATATAGGTAATTCGTTCAATCCGTCCATAATTTTATGACTTGGAGTTTATCTCAATCCATTCAAACCTTAACCCATTATAAAAAAATCTTCAATTGAGCCCAAGTTAATCTTCAATTTCAACTTGTTTTAAGACTCTTTATTTACATTGGTGTTATGTATGTTCCCATATTGAAAGTGTAACTCAAGTTGAAATTCATGGTTATAAAAGGTAATTAACAATATGTTAAAATTATTGAGATTAAGCGGGTCCAATTGGACGGGTCTTGACCCAACTCGATTTTAGCCCAACTTGTCACGACCTAAAAACACAAGCAGTGATGACAACTATCTTCCCAACCGATAGGTAAGGCAAACCACTAATTTTATCTATTCAATTTAATATATGAATGAAAAATAAATGACAGGAAAAAAATAATCTCAAATACGAAGTCTTTCATAAGTATGAAATACGGAAAAACTAAAATATCATGTCACGCCTGAGCCTACACTCTGGACGTGGCCGACACTCAAGAACCATTGTTGGTTCCCAAGTGAACCCTTGGCCTGACTGAATACTTAGCGGAAGACTTACTCAAGCAAAAAGGAAACTTTCAATCCATAATTAAACTTAATAGTCTCAATTAAACTCAACTCAAATAAATGTCTGGAAATACTTAATAAAGTATAAGTAATAGTTTTCAAGATCTCGAAACAGAAATGAACATGCTGAGAGACTCATCAACTCTAACTATCTATGAAGCCTCTATAGTTCAACATGGATATCGGGAAAAGACCCACATCACCTTAAAATGATTAAATTGTAAGGAGAAGGGGGGTCCTCCGGAATGTAATGAGGCTCATCAAAATCTAACTAGAGTGCCAAATGATCTCAAAAAAATGCATGTTGATGTTCCTGAACACCTGTATCTGCATCATAAAAGATGCAGGTCGAATGACATCAGTACATTGAATGCGGAGTATGTAATATAATCGAGGCGAAATAACTGAATGAAAAGACTGCAAAAGATATAACATAAACTCAACTGAATGTAAAGAATTAAAGGAATGAAATCATATAACTTTACAAGAAACTTTCTCATCTCTGAACTATAATATAATAAGTGATATATAAAAAATATACTTTAATTCTATTGGGAGATTCTCTAACTGACAACCATCACTGTGAGCTACGTGATGATACAACGTCTTATCCACACTATCAAAATTGTCATATATTGTGTCGGGATATAGAACCTCTCAACTAAGTGGATCCACTAAGCTCTGTCTGAAGGCACTAAGGATTCATCTAAAAAGTATGATCTTGTACCCATGTTGGCAAGACATAGTTTATAGGGGCTGTGAGTTGTCTGAACTCTCCCCCATATCGGTGCTCAATACTACTCCCAATAATATATACCTTTGCTCAAATGTATAAAAACATCCCCTTTCTCTGGTTTGAGGCAATTTCTCAAACTATCCTCTTAAAAGAGGTAACTGCTCTGAAATATCTTTGAAACTCATTGCTCATTTAGAAAACAAAGTTTCTCTTTGCTCAATGTAAAAATACATTCTGGGTTGAGATAATTACTCAAAAGAAGCCTCGTTAAGAGGTAACTGCTCTGTACTTAATCTTTCTAAAAACTCTTTTAACTTTTCTCAAAAAAGTGTACTCTTTTTCTTCATGTAAAAAAATGAAACATTTGGGAAATACTTAGTTCCCTTGTACTCTTTCTCAAACTGCTCTTTACTTCCTCAAAACTCAACTTAAAGAATCAATAATATTTTGTTTATAAGATTCTCAATAATAATTCACTGAATGCTAAAAAATAAGGTTCATGCTGGAAAATAGTCATGAACAATCAACTCAATAATCACAATACACAATGTATGACAATTCAATGATTAAAAATATGAGTTCAATAATCAACAACTCAAGAATTCAAAACTCTATATCAACTTATCTCAATAATACCGAAATCTAAGGATAGAACCCTAGATTACTCTTTTACTAATTTGAATGTAGATGTCGGGTGTGAGGATGAACTAGTCCAACACTATGATAGCCTTACGTACCTGGAAGAACAAAGTTCTTTAGCGAAATCGACGAAACTCGAAGAAAGCTTGAACCCTAGTTTTTCTCTTCTTGGAACCTTGCTCTAATGTCTTGAAGTGTTAATAAACGTAAAATAATTTATTAACACTTTCTAAGCCCTTAATTAGGTGTAAAACATCATGGTTTAGACTTAGAGCATGGTTAATACGACGTAGTTTAAGTACCAAACGTATAGAGAGACCAAAACAACCCACTTTTTTAAAACTGAAAAGGTGCCTTAAAAGGGAGGTTTCATGGACCTTTTAAGGCTTCATGGTTCGTGAAACACTTCACGGCCGTTTAGCCAGTCGTTAAGCTTACCTGCCCGACATGGATTCACTTAAACATGCATTACTTTTTTGACCAAACTCGAAATGAGGCAAACTTGGCGGCCCTGGAAAGAGGACTCAAAGTCATTTAATTTGATAGGTCATGGGCCACCTAATTCATTATGTGCTGAAGTTAGCCCAAAACTTAAAAATTGATTGGTGACTTGTACGAACCACTAAACGGACTGTCTAGGGTCTCGTCTAGGTGATTCCCACTTTGGAAGCCTTGGATGGTCGTTCATTATCCCTTAAATGGGCTGTTTAGGGTGCCCTGAAGGGTCCATGGTCCATTTTGGGTTCGTGAACTTGTCTGTTACCCCTCTTTAGTCCTTTTAAAAGTCCGAAGTGTTACAATATCTCCCCCTTAGGAACATTCGTCCTTGAATGAGATCAAACTAAGCATAAAAGGGGCGGGAAAGTGTCTAACAACCCAACACAAAGCACAAAACATGAAAATAACATAAACTCAACATATCAACTTTAAGAGTGCTTTACAAAGAGTGAGTACCTTGGTCTGGAATTGAATCAGAGGAAAAAAGGTGATGGCATTTCTTCTTCATATCCTCCTCGGCTTCCCAAGTAGCTTCCTCAACTAATTGGTTCCTCCACAAGTCTTTGACTAATGCAACCTCTTTGGTTCTCAACTTACGAACCTGACGATGAATGATCTGAACTGGAATCTCCTCATATGACAGACCGTCCTTTAATCTAATACTCTTAGTAGGCACAATAAGTGCATGATCACTCAAACACTTCTTTAATATAGAAATATGAAACACTGGATGAACTGCTACTAACTCTGGTGGTAGCTCCAACTCATATGTTCTAGTACCAACCCTCTTGGATATCCGAGAAATACCAATGTATCAGGAACTGAGCTTCTCTTTCTTACCAAATCTCATAACACCCTTCATGAGTGAAACTTTCAGATATACCCAATCACCAACCTCAAACTCCAATCTTCTTCTAACATCATTAGAGGATTTATGACGACTCTACGTTGTTTTCAACCTCTCCTGAATTGTCTTCACCTTCTCCATGGCTTGATGAACCAAACCTGGTCCAATCAACTCAACTTCGCCAACCTCATACCATCCATTATGAGATATACACCTTCGCCCATATAAAGCCTCATACGGAGCCATCTGAATGTTGAAATAGTAACTATTATTGTATGCAAATTCAATAAGAGGCAAGTGGTCATTCCAATTACCTTTGAAATACTAAACACAACTTCTCAACATTTCCTCCAAGGTATGAATTGTGTGCTCTGCTTGACCATCAATTTGAGGATGAAAAGTAGTACAAGGTTCACCTTCGAACCCATACCTTTCTAAAATGACTTCCAAAACTGTGCGGTAAATTGAGCACCTCTATATGAAATGATGGACAATGGAACTCCATGCAGTTAAACTATCTCTCAAATTTACAAATTTGCATACTCTTTTGCTATATTGGTAGTCTTTACCGGTAAGAAGTGGGATGATTTGGTTATCCGATCCACAATAATCACCTAAGTGGAATTATACTGTCTGCGAGATCGCGGTAAACCAGTAATGAAATCCATATTAATTATCTCATTCTTCCATTCCGAAAGGGGTATATTCTAAGCTACACTACATGACCTTTGATCTTAGCATTGACTTGCTGGCAATTTGGTAACTTAGCAACAAACTCGACAATGTACCGCTTTATGTCACTCCACTAATAGACTTCTCTTAAATTATGGTACATTTTAGTGGCACCTGGATGAATCGAATATCAAGAACTATGGGTTTCTTCCATGATTCTCTCTAGGAGTTCATCCATATTTGGAACACACAACTTACCTTGATACCTTAATACACCATCTCGCCCTTGTGCAAAGACATCACTTTCTGCTTATGCACATTTGCCATCAACTCAAGTAAAATAGGATCCTTGTCTTGTTTCTCCTTCACTTCTAACATTAACGATTATTTGACCCCATTCATAACGACCACTCCCCTTCACTGGAGTCAACGAACAAACTCCTAGACATGCAAGTGTGTGAACTTCCTTTGCCAATTCTTTCTTGCCTTCTTCGACATGGGTAGTACTTCATATGGAAAACTTGGTCAAGGCATCAACACCAACATTATCCTGACCTGGATGGTATATTACACTTATATATTCTAGCCATCTTATTTGTCGAAGATTTAGCTCATTCTGACGAAAAATATACATGAGACTCTTGTGGTCGGTGAACACATCCACGTGAGGACCATAGAGATAGTGACACCATATCTTGAGAGAAAAAAACTACTATTGACAACTCGAGATCCTGATTCAAGTAGTTCTTCTCGTGAATCTTAAGCTGTTTGGAGGCATAGGCTATAACCTACCATTCTGCATCAATACTGTCACGCCCCGAGCCTACACCATGGGCGGGACTGGTACTCGAGAACCATTGTTCGCCCCAAGCGAACCCTTGGTCTGGCTTACTACTCAGCGGAAGACCTTACTTAACAATAAGATACACTGAAATACACTCATAACTAAACTATCTCAATAGATGACTTATAATGTTTTAGATATAAACATTCAACTAGCCAAAGTGGCAACTCTAGTCTCAACATGAACAACTGGAAATGGAAAGACTCGTGAACTAATAATGTCTAACTATCTATGAAGCCTCTAAATACTAAGAGGGATATCAAGACAAGACCCCTGATCATTCTAACAAAACTGAAATGATAGAATAATGATAAAAGGGATCCTTCGGAAGCAATAAGGCTCACCAACAACTCTGAAGCTCAACTGGATCAACGAAGTACTGGATGCTGATCCTGGTTACCAGTATCTGCATCATAAAAGATGTAGGATAAATGGCGTCAGTACATGGAATGTATGAGCATGTGAGGGGAATTCTAAAACAAGACATAGGCTTGAAATGGAAACTGGAGAAACACTTACCTCGTCTCAACTCAACTCATTTCAATATAAGACAGCGATAGAAATGCAATATAAAGAAAAACGTTAAAACATGTAGATAACAACTCAGTGTATTGAAAGACACAATAATAACTTAGTTTTGTATATGAAAATACAAGTAATTCTGTGGGAGATTCTCTAACCGACAACCATCACTATGAGCTATGTGATGATACAACGTCTAGCCCACACTGCCAGAACTGTCCTATACTTTGCCGGGGTATAAAACCTACTACAAAGTGGATCCAGTCGTCTATGCTAAAAAACATTAAGGAATCATCTAAAAAACATGACCCTTTCTACCAATGTTGGCTACATGGTTTATGGAGACTTGAGTTATCTCAACTCGTCCCCATATCGGTGCTCAATACTACTCCCAAAACGTAACTAGCTCATATGTTTAAAAACATAACTTTTTTTGTGGTTTGAGATTATTACTCAAAAGATCTTTCTCTTAAAATAGATGGTACTAAAACAGTTCATGAAAACTCTTTTGGAAATCGGTGTTTCCTCTAATCTTAAATGTGAAAACATTTAATCTTTTGGAATAATTAGTTCACATATAACATTTTAAAGAAAATGAACTCGGCTCTACTCTTTCTCAAACTCAATGCTTTAGTCTTAAAACAAGTTTTAAAGTAATTGTAAAAGACTTTTTGAAAAGACTCCAAGAACTCTCTAGACTTGACTCTTAGCTCTACCTTAAATTTGAATCATGGATTCAAGGGTCAGGATCTCATGTTATAGATGATCTCTCGGTGTTTAGACGTACCTTAGAGTGTAAAAATCAACTAGAAAACACAGGTGAAAGAGTGGGAAAGGGTAGAGGACTTGGCGACCCTGGCGTACGCCAGACCCTGAACTACAGAACCTGGGTTGGGACGCACTGAGTGGCGCGGCGCCCCAGGACCCAAACTATAGACACTGATGTGGGGTGCACTGAGTGGCGCAGCCCCCCACCCCTTTTCCCAGAAAACTTGACGAATTTCTTTACTCATTTTTCGATCCCAATTCATTTAGAATTGAATGGTTTCTTCCACAATCACTTAGATTAGAATACCCAACCATAAAACATAAGAATCTACTTAAAAACAACCTTAAAACTCATATTATTATCTTAAGAACACATAAAAAACCTCAACAATCAAGACTATGAAGGAAACTTCAACAAAACTTATCAGGAACTCAAATTCTTTACTTTTAAGAAAGAAATTACGTTGAATTAATCATGATTGGTGCGTGGGTGAACGAACCCAATGCTATGTGAACTCACATACCTCTTAGAGATCAACCCTTGGCGAAATCCGCAACGAAAATCCTCAAGAACTTGACGAACGCTAAACTTTTTCTCCTTTTTTCCTCTTCTTGAACTTCTCTCAAAACCCTAGCGTATTTTAGAATTTATAAAACTGAACCAAATCAGTTTAGACCCCTAGATATTACCAAATTTCGTTTTAAGTTAATTGGGTAAGGAAAAGACCAAAATACCTCTCTTAAATCCTCATAGCTTTCCTTAGCTAGACAACCCGACTTCAAACATGCATATCTCCCTCATACAAGCTCAAAAATTAGCAAACTCGGTGGCGTTAGAAAGAGAATTCCAAGATCTTTCATTTGATATCTTATAGGCCACCTAACTCATTCTGTCTTGAAAGTTATGGTCGTTGGAAATTGACCCAAACTCATACTTAGCATAACTTACCAAAATTTCCAAATTTATTGTTTCCAAAAATATTTTCTTTCTATTTATAGTTTTTTCTGAGGTGGGATGTTACAAATACACAACCAAGTCCCACTCTGGATGGATCACAATAAATAACAAAACCCTCTGTACCCTCTTGTAGGGTCAACACTAGAGTAGTAGTTAACCGAGTTTTAAATTCCTGAAAGCTTTTCTCACAAGCATCAAACCATTGAAACTTAGTTATTATCTGAGTAAACTTAGTCAACATGGAAGAAATAGATGAAAACCCCTCGACGAACCTTCTGTAGTAACCAACCAATCCCAAGAAACTCCTTATATCAGTTGTAAAGTGGGTCTGGGCCAATTCTGCACTACTTCAATCTTCTGAGTGTCAACTCAAATTCCATCGCCAGACACTATATGGCCTAAAAATGCTACATACTCAAGCTAGAACTCACACTTAGAAAAATTGGCATATGATTCTCGATCTTTGAGAGTTTGGAGGACTATTATGAGATAACTAACATGGTCCTCCTTATTCCTCAAATAAATCAATATGTCATCAATAAATATGATAACAAACATGTCGAGATAGTGCTTAAATACTCTGTTCATAAGATCCATGAATATTGCATAAGTGTTAGACAACCCAAAGGACATAACAAGGAACTCATAATGACCATAACGGGTCTTGAATGTTATCTTCATGATGTCACTTTCTCTCACTTTCAAATGATGATAGCTAAATCTGGGGACTATCTTAAAGAAACAAGTGGCACCCTGAAGTTGGTCGAAAGGTCATCAATTCTCACAAGGGGATACGTATTCTTTATGGTGACCTTGCTGAACCAGCGGTAATCAATGCAGATCCTGTGTGAACAATCTATATTTATCACGAATAAGACTAGAGTGCCCCAAGGTGGGACACTTGATTGTATGAAACCCTTATCAAGAAGATATCTTAACTCATTTTTAAACTTTTTTAACTTAGCTAGAGCCATTATATATGGCGGAATAGAAATGGGTTGAGTATCGGGAAGAATATCTATTCTAAAGTCTATTTCTCTCTCAGGAGGGACTTCGGGAAGATCATAAGGAAAGACCTCTAGAAACTCACTCACAACTGGAACTGACTAAATATGCAGTGTCTTAACACTAGATTCATTAACTCAGACTAAATGATAGATGTACCCCTTAGAAACTAACTTTATTTCCTTAAGGTATGAAATAAAACGACCTTTAGGCACTACTGAACTACTCCTCCACTCTAAAACTGGATTATTAGGAAACTGAAACTTCACTACTCGAGTTCTACAATCAACTTAGGCATAACAAACATAAAACCAGTCCATACCTAGAATAACATCAAAGTCCACCATGTCTAGTTCAACTAAGTTAGCCATGGTGTCCTTGTGATAGACAAAGATGATACAATCACGATAGACTATTTCTGCTAGAATAGACTCACCCACATGTGTGGAAACACTGAAGGGCTCAAGAAGTTGTTCG